TGCAGCCTGTGGGGGGCGGTGCAGGGTGTAGGTCGAGAATAACTGTGTGTGAGCCGAGCTGTGAGCAGACAAAACATTTTGGAATAGATTATGGTAGTAAATTTAGAGATTCAAACTTAAGGATATTAGATTGACGCACTCTCTCTCTCTCTCTCTCATGGTAGTAAATTTAGAGATTCAAACTTAAGGATATTAGATTGACGCAAGATTCACTATGTAAACATTACTCCGCTGTGACAAAGTTCTTGAGGTTGTTGGGTATAGGCTGTGACTTTAGCAGTGACTGTACTGCAGCACACGGTACGAAGGAGAGCCGTTCGATGGAATGTCCCGCGGCCGGTGCGCGGGCGGGTGCCAGCGTGGAGCCGCGCACCGCCGCTGGACCGTAAACGGGAACAAAGTCGGAGGGATATATAGGGCTTTATCGATTCCAGGCGTTCCAGACGAAACTCCAGCAGCGTGTCGTGGGCGCGGTGGGGCTGGAAGCGGGGGCAAGGCCTGGTGCAAGGAGAGAGACTTTGAGAGAGGTTCGTGTGTGTGTGTGGGGGGGGGGTACGGGTAACTTGATATTCAGGATGGGGGCAGCCACTCCATGGGCCGGGCCTCTGGTGCTGCTCGCGCCACCGACATACCCGCTCTCATCCGCACACACACACACACATACCGCAGGCGCATACTCTCGCTCGAGGCAGGTCGCCTGGGAGGTAGACGGGCCCGGCGCGCACGCCTGTCTTGCGGGTCGGCCTACCCGCTCCACCGCAGGGGCCCCGGCGGCACTTGGCTCCGAGCAGAGGGCAGAGGCGAACCTAAAGTGAAGGAGGCAGTTTGGGTCACAGGATCGTGTTGCTGCGCTCAAAGTCTGTGTCACTTTGGTGCCGAGTGCAGCCACTCCATGTGGCCGTACGGTACGAGGCCCTATGACTCTCATATGGCAAATGGAAGGGTTCTATGCGACTATCAAAATCAAGCAAGTCTTTCAACTTGACACGATCTTTCTTAAATTCCCTTCTTGCCATCTACTGGCCCCAAGATGTGGTTGGAAGTCCTAGAAACTTTCCGGAAAAACGGAAAATGTCCGGATCAAACGGAATTTTTTTTGTCCGTTTTTTTTCGTCGATTTTCCGGCAATTTCGGGAATTTTCCAACCCTACCCCAAGAACGTTTCTTTCTTTCTCGCTACGAACATATTTTTCACAGTGTAAAACCATTTTCCTATGTTGATCGCACTGTTTGTCTTTGCTTGCAGGCGGCGGGGCAGGCGGCCGCGGTGCAGGCGGCGGGGGCAGCCGGATCGCGGGCCGCGGGCGGCTCGCTGGCGGGGCCGGGCGCGGGCGGCGGCTTCTCGTCGCTGTCGGAGCTGCTGGCGCGCAAGGCTGTGGCCGCCAAGCTCGGCCGCTACGACCTGCTGCTCGGCGTGGTGCGCGCCGAGGCCTTCCTCTCCTTCTCCTCGGCCGACGAGCAGTTCGGCCTCGAGGCGGACCGGCGCTCGCGCATACTGCGCGCCTTCGTCCGCAACACGTTAAGCTTCCACCGCGCCGAGATTCTGGCCACGGTAAACACTCGCAGTTAATTCAAAACAAATTTTGATTTCCAAGAAAGGACGGTGTTTACCATATCAAAACTTTGCCAAAATTTGATTTACAAAAATATGTCCAAATTTTAATTTACAAAAAAAAACAACTGTATTTTAGATTTTAATCTGCAAAACAATATCTAAATTTCAGTTTAAAAAATGAACACACATCCGTTACATAGTGTACCAGGTGGCTGATTCACGCCGCGCACTTCTGTACTTATGCTGCACCGCATGCACGAGTGCGGGCGGGTTGCCTACTCGCTCGGCTCGTAAGGACAGGGGCGATAGGCAAGCCCGCCCGCACTCTTGCATGCGGTACAGTATACCTACAGAAGTGCGCGGCGTGAATCAGCCACCTGGTATGTACCTCGGTATGTACCACGAAATGACATCACCGCCTTGCCGCAGATCCTCAACGAGTACACGGACTGGGAGCGGCCCGTGCAGCACCCGGTCAACCTGCGCGACGAGACGCTGGAAGCGCTCTCCGACGCGCGGGTCGTGGCGCCCGCCGTGCTCACGGCCGACCTGCACGCCGCCGTCACCGCCAACCGCTCTTTCGTCTACGTCTTCGACTACCAGACCAAGTATGGCGACTACCAGCAGGTGCGTAACTTTTACAAATTCAACTTGTTTCTCAGCGTTAAAAATGTATCATGTGGTCGTTGATGTTCTGGAATGGCGAAAAAAAATTATTATCGTGTAACGATTTGTGTTCGACAGCGCCAGGGCTGCATTCACGGTGAGGACCTCCCCTACGTGCTCGGCGCGCCGCTGGCCGGCAGCGAGGGACTCTCCTTCTTCTCCAACAACTACACCAAGCAAGAGGGCCTGCTCTCCGAGGCCGTCATGACCTACTGGACCAACTTCGCCCGCACCGGGTACGTCGAGGCGACGGTGTGGGAAAACAGGGACGAGGGCGGGGGAGGGGAGGAGGGGTGTAGCGAGAGGCTGCAAAAACGAGTTGACGGCGCCAAGGAGGCTTGCTAAGTGCACCACCCTCCCCCTCACCCATCCTGCCCTTCTCCTCCAACCCCTTCACCATCTGAGACAACAGCAAGGCTGAAATGCTTACTAAAGAGCTAGGCAAGGCCCAAAGTGACTTCCCTCCCTTAAGCCCTCTTCCCACCCCACCCTTCTTTTCGCCTCTTTCGTTAATTCTTCTTCCCTCATCATTCCGAGGCCGACGCGCTCACATTTTCAATATTTGGGTCCAACTCTCTTCGTCTCTCTCTCTCTCTCTCTCTCTCTCTCTCACTCACTCACTCACTCACTCACTCACTCCCTCCCTCGCCCTGGAGTGAGGACAGAGTTCTGCTTTGCAGATTAGCCCGCCAGGGATCGCTGTAAAGCAAACTGCTCCCTACCCCCGTCCCCACCCCGAACACAACTGGGGCTGACCGCGACGGTAGAACGCTGCCCAGCTCGCTGTATCGGCAGCTGGAGGCGCCTGTGAGGTAGGCATCAACGCCAGCACCTGTGCGGGGTGTTGCCTACCTACGGGCGGATGGCTGCCTATCCAAAGGCGTCAGGGGACCATCTGGAGGCGCCTGCGAGGTAGGCAACAACACCAG